CATCATCACAAGTTACCTTTTTCATTGCTACGTATATAAATAAGGGTATGTACATTCTCTATCAAGAGTATCTATTTAATATGTATCTTTTTTAACATCGTGGTGTTTTATATAGAGGAAAAAATTTTCGTTTTAAGCCAATGAACTATCCTTTAATCTTTAAGACTCAACGAAAATATTTTATAACTTGCCGTTCTTATCCACTTGGCACTTGCCATTTGTTTGGGAAGTTAACCTATATCGCCCAGTTTCCAGCATTTTTAAACGAAAGTGGCAGAAGTGAACCAATTTCGGTTTTGTATATCTCAGTTCTAACTATATGAAAATTAATGAGTATTTTCTTTATCGTCTCAGCAGCTCACTACAAGAATGAATCAAGGGTTTATTCTGGTTCTTGGATTGATCTCATACTTGTTGTCATTCATTGACAGAGTTCATCTTGTACAAGGTATGACTAGCAACTATGACTATTTGCATTCGATAAAACATGATGTGAGTTTTGTTTTGTATTGTTATTAGCATTTTATCATGTATATTTTGTGAATACTTGTAGATGCATTGTTTGATGTACATTTTGACTTTTCAAAAGTCTGTGGTCAACCCAAGTGACCCTGCTTCTTTGCTTCTTTGGACACGCATTAAACAACCTTGTAATATTTTCATAGTTATTTCTTTATTTCGTTAATATTTAGTCATGTTAACTACCTAGCTTTTTAAAATAATAAAATAAAATGAATTCAATCGATTATTGCCCATTCATATAGTAAAACATGCATTATTGTAATCCTTTTAGCTTRGCTCACTTCGCCCTCTTCTCAATCCCCTTCCAAATTTATTGTTTCAGAAACCTTACCTGTGACAATTCACCGTAAATGGTATAAAGATAAACTGYCGGGAGACATGTTAGGGGTAATTTTTCAATGATTTATTGCAGAATAAGTACTTCCGTTTTGAAATCTCTTTTAAGTAATCCTAAAGGCCAAACTTTAGTATGTAATTGTCTAGTATGTGTATGTATTTCTAGGATGTATAGGATTCAAAACTAAATTGTCTAAGTCATCTTTGATTCGGTTCTCGGATGCGCATGACCAATGTATCATAGTGGAYCCTAAATAGTATTAAGAAAAATGCGATGGCAACTTTGAAGTTGCTGAGAGAAAATTTACAGGGGAACATTTTACTCCTACAGTTGCTTTGTATGAAAAAATCTTGAATTTCAATCCCGATTTTTTTATATATTTATTTATTTATTTTTCAGTTTTTCTTCAACTCTGGAAAGTACTTAGTATGTGATACTACAGAAAAGCAAGAACCAAAATCCTGGTTAAGAACTGACTTTATTGAATTCAATGGCGCTAAGCGTGCGTTCATTTACATTAGTTACACCATCAGAAAATGTAAATCAAACTCTAAATACTGCAAAGAACAGTTTAAACTTTACACAGCGCAAACTAGCAAGCCTGCATCAAGTCCTAAACCTCCAAATGGATTTGAGGAAATTGCAGTTGCAAAGCCTAAAAACCTCAGAGATAGAGCACCTGATGAAAAGGACGTTATTGTGTTGAATGCAACAATCAAAGCAAAGATGGGTGGATTTTATCTGGCTTTGTTGGATCAAGGTGTATGTCTCACATTGTACAGCATCAAAGTAATGTACTACGTCTGTCCTGAAAGAGGAAAATATCTTGATTTAATCAAGTTTCCTAAAACCATATCTCCAGCTGAAGACATTGTAGGATCTCAGGGTCAAGTCCACGGATCTTGCTCTGATTCAAATGCTAAAAATAAAACTGAATTACTGGGTGTTTGCACAACCAAAGGAGTGTGGAAGGTGAATAGTGACGTCAGGTGTCTGTGCAAACCTGGTCATGAGTACTTACCAACTCCTAGAGCACACTGTGCAGGTAGGCATTACCATAGGATACGAAGTAATAGATCAAAGACGAGTGCGAGTGTTTCATCAGGGGATCCAAATACCGAGGAACTGATGAAAGCACGAGGCCGCAGGCCGAGTGCTTTTATCTGTTTCGAGGTGTTTGGATTCCCCTGATGAAACACGAAGCACGAGTTTTTGATCTGGCTTCTCAAACGAATTAATAAGGAATGACTCATTAGCAATAAGAAGTATGTTTAGAAAACAAGGGAATTTGCCTGATTTAATTCAATTCATTGTGAAATTTTCGTATATATAAGACTGGCTTCAGCTGAACGAATTGAGTCAGTACATCATGTAAAGGAGAGAACTGAGGAAAAAGAGTGCTTCGATGTTACCAATTGCGAAATCAACTTCTATTACAACAATTAAAATGTAATACTAGTTTAACTAAAAGGTATGAAAGTGCTGCCCGGTAGCTTAATTGCCACCGTGTGATCGGCGTTTGATGTGTTGCATGACTTCACTCTAGTATAGGCGGTTTGGCTGCATTTGTATTGCTCTCACATGGAAAATCTTGTCCCGAATGCTATTCTGTTGTGAACCCTTATTGCAACGTCTTTTATAAATTGACAAGGGGGAAAACAGACGTTTTCAGTATAATTCAAAATCATTTATTACAAAAAATTAAGTGTCAGATTCAAWTTTTTTATACCATAAAAATCAATAAAAACTACTCTTGGCACAGACGACAATCATATTTGGTTCAAGAACTACATTTGATTCAAATAAAAGCCAGCGTAAAGTGATTTTAATGATGAATATCGTTACATCTGGTTTTATGTGGCAAATATAACCGGATGTAACGCAGGCTATTCCTGGCCAGACTGTAGAAATCAGCAACCATACCGTTTGAGTAACGATCATTTGAATGAGTTTCGTAAAATCAAAGGCCTTTTTTAGCGGCTAAGACGACAGATTCAGGATGCATTTCAGATAATAAGTAAAACTTTATTTACT